GCAATGTGTTAATTATTGAAACTGTCCTACCAATTTGGTTTGAAACTGTCTCATTGCTATTTGTTTCTCAATAAAATTATGGGGAAAATAAATAAATATCTATTTAGAAATAAAAAAGTAAGATGCTAAAATGTTTAAATAATGTCTTTACAAACATTTGATTATTTAATACACAGGAGCATGAATTTTATAACATGTAGAAGTTAAATATAATAAATAGGGCTGGGAAGATAGGTTGGCAATTAAGCGCCTGCCTGGCAAGTGCAAGGACCCAGGTTCCATTCAGGTACTGCATGCCATGCTGGCCCTGGCATCTCAGGCATGCATTGCTGGCCCCAAAACCAGGTGTGGTGATGTATGCCTGTAATCCCAGTGCTGGGGAGGCTGAGACAGGAGATTTACTGAGTCTGAGCTGCATAGTGAGACCCTGTATCAAATAAATTAATGAATAAATAAATGATAAATATAGTACAAAACACAAAAATCTGAGTAGATTGTCATAAACTTAAATAGTATATTGTAAGCTGAAAATAATTAAATGAAAAATCTGTATAATATATGAGAATAGAGATCAAACATTTAAAATATGACAACTGAAAACAGCAATTGAGTAAAATAAATCATAGGGACAAATAAAAAACAACAAAATACCATAACATATGTGACTTAACAACAGAAATTATATATTTTTTTCTCTGTAAAGAAACTCCCAAGAAAAGATTCTAGTATGTTGAGGATCTAGTGAGGAAAAAGTTTCTTCCTGATGCATTTCTAAAGAATCACATAGAGCAGAGAGAAAAAAGGAGAGCATTCCAGTGTCTTTTTTTTTTTTTAATTTTAGGTAAGGATCTATAGGGTGTTCAGGTTCTCACTTACTGGATCAGACTCATAGTGATCTGCCTGTTTACAGCCTCCCAAGAGCTGGGATTAGAGGCATGTGCCACCACACCCAGTCTCAATTGCAGTCTTAGTGAGGTCCGGGGGCATGGCCAGCACAGCAGACCTGGGGATTGAACCCCTGGCCCCTGTGCCTGCTTGCAGGCCCTTTAATCCACTGAGCTATTTGTCTGACTCTCCAGTGTCTTTTTTTAATAAGAAACTAAAACTATATAAATGTAACTACATACAAAAGACCCAACCACTGATTACTATCATCTTAAGGCTTGAGAATTCAGCACAAGAATTTAAGGGGGACACATTTCAGTATGCAGCAAGTGTATAAGCAGTTTAATTTTGCTTTGGAGTTACTTTTATTTCAATTTTCACTTTATATTAACACATGCTTACAGTACATATTG